CACCCGAGGACATTTTTCCATTTTTTGTACAGAGTGGGAGGGAGAGAGAGGAAGAGAGAGAGAGGGAAACATCGATGTGAAAGGGACACATCGAGTGGCTGCCACCCGCACGACCAACCAGGGCCAGGGACAAACTGCAACCGAGGTACATGCCCTTAGCGGAACCGAACCCGGGTCTCTCTGGACCGCAGGTGGACGCTCTAACCGCTGAGCCAAACTGGCCAGGGCAATAATGTGTTTTGATGAACAAAAGTACTTCATTTTAATGAAGTCCAATGTGACAATCATTTATGCCACTGACGGTACTTCTTCGTGACCTTTTTAGGAAATCTATCCTATTCTAAGTCATAAAGATATTTAGCTTTTTTTCCCTAGGATCTTTGTGGTTTTACCTATCACAAGCAGGTCTATGATCCAATTCTAATTAATTTTTGTGTATGGTGTGAGGTAAGGATCAGATTTTTTTTTTCATATGAATGTCCAACTTGTATGGTCCAGAATTATTTATTGTAAAACAATCCTTTCCCACACTGAATTTTTGTTGAACCTCTGTTGTAAATCAGGTTATATTATATGTATTTATGGGTCAGTTTCTGGACTTTCTATTCAGTTCTATTGATCTTTTGGTCTACCTATGCACAGTGCTATCTGGATTTCTGTTTGATTTGTTGTTGCTGTTTAGTGTTAAACCAACTTTGCTTTCCTAGAACAAACCCAACTTGGTTCTAATTTATTATCCTATTTATATATTGCTGAATACAGCAAAGGTGTTGCATTCAATTTACTGATATTTTGTTTGGAACTTTTACATCTATATTTCTGAGAGAAAATGGACTTTGGTAGAATTGACCAGCTTTGCCCCATTTAAGCCTGGGGTTCTCTTTGTGAGACAGTTTTTTACTTATAGAGTAGATATAGGATTGTTCAGATTTTCTATTCTTCTTATATACCCTTTAATAACTTGTGTTTTTCTAGGAATTTATCTTTCAAAATTTTCTAATTTATTGACCTGGAGTTGATGGCAAAATTGTGTAATGACTAGTGTTGGGCTCTGCATCTGTCACTTAAGAAGTGTGGACTGTTGGGTTCAGCAACTGCTTGGGCATGACAGTAGCGCTGGGGTCTTTGCTATAGTTAGGTCCTCCTGTTGTTAGGCTTGAAGGTCTAAATAAATCTCTTTCTGACTCACACAGTCTTTCTTTAGATGTGTTAATACCCTCGATCAGACTTTGATGCTAAATCACATCTCGGCCCAGAGACTCTTAGTCCCTTTATTTATTTATTTATTTATTTATTTATTTATTTATTTTTCTTTACTGATTTTAGAGAGAGAGGGAAGGAAGAGGGAGAGAGAGACAGAAACATCAATAAGAGAGAACATTGATTGGCCGCCTCCTGCATGCCTCACACTGGGGATTCGGCCCACAACCTGGGCATGTGCCCTGACCAGGAATCACACTGGTGACCTTTTGGTGCAGGGTCGCTGCTCAACCACTGAGCCACACCAGCCCAGTGACTCTTAGTCCCTTTAAAGGTTTACATCTCTGTTCTAATTTTATTTCCCTGACTTTTCTTCTTGGGGTGGCTTCAGTGTTCCTCAGTCACATCGCCTGCATGTAGCTGCACTGTTTTCCTGAAACATTCCCACATTCACTCTTACCTGTAGCATCAGACAGAGTTCATCTCACCGAGCCCTTCCGCCACTGATCATTTCCGTCAGACACGAATCATCTGTGCCAATCTGCAGGCCAAAAACAGCATCTGAGCCAGAGCTGTAAGAAATGCATGTCAAAGTTTCTCCGCTACGCCTGGCCGGTGTGGCTCAGTGGTTGAGCATCGACCCATGCACCAAAAGGTCGCCAGTTTGATTCCCCGTCAGGGCACATGCCCAGGTTGTTGGTCCAATTCCCAGTGGGGGGCATGCAGGAGGTGGCCAATTGATGTTCTCTCTCATAGATGTTTCTATCTCTCTCTCCCTCTCCCTTCCTCTCTCTTTAAAATCAATAAAGAAAATAAATAAATAAGGTTTCTCCACTAGGACACTCCTCTAAGTCTTACAGTCTAAGAAAACATTTTCTTCCAAGAAGTTTGAGTGTTATTTGCTCATAACACTCACTTTTCTGTAAAGGAATGGCTGGAAAAATCTGACTCAGTTCTGTGTAACCATATGTCCAAAGTCTCAAATCAAGATATGTCATCTATTTAAAATATTTTTCATATACATAAAAATCTGACAAACTCACTCATCCATTCAACAAATATTTATTGATTATACCCTAGGAGCTATACTGTTCTAGGCCCTGGATATATAGCAATAAACAAAGACAAAAATCCCTGATGTCATGGAGCTATTTTAGTTCAATATACTAACTCCCATTTAATTGAATGTTCAGTCCTGTCCCTTTCTAATATTTCAACATTTAAAATCAGAGCTGGTGGCCCTGGCCAGTGTGCCTCAGCGGTTAGAACGTCGATCTGCAGTCCAGAGAAACCCGGGTTCGGTTCTCGCTAAGGGCACGTACCTTGGTTGGAGTTTGTCCCCGGCCCTGGCTGGTCGTGCCGGTGGCAACCACTTGATGCGTCCCTTTCACATAGATGTTTCTCTCTTCTCTCTCTCTCTCTCTCTCCCTTCCACTCTATCTGAACAAAATATCGAGAAAAAAAATGTCCTCGAGTGAGGATAAAAATAAATAAATAAATAAATAAATAAAATCAGAGCTGGTCTAGAAAATAGAAAGTCTCGTGATCAGCTATTCCTATGACAATCCTTCATGCTTTGAGGACAGGTAAGTTTTCTGGAGGCTGCGGCTGCACAAGGCCAAGCCTGGTAAATGACACGGGAGATGCAATTGGTGAAGAGCATTATCTAGAGCCATGACAAATAATGAGACTGACTGCTCCGCAGGACTGGGTGCCTCTTGAAGGCGGGGACACTGTCCTGTGTATCCCTTATTTCTGGTAGACTGCCTGGCATACAGTGGTTGATGAATGACTTTGTGAATTAATGGAGTGACAAGTGAGTAGGGAGTGAATGAATGAAGAGCCGCTCCCTTGGTGATCTCCTTTAGTCTCCTTAAATGCCATCCAGACAGAGATAACTCCTAGATGTATGTCTCCAGCCTTGAATTTGACTTCTATATCCTATTGCCTTCTCATCCTACCTGGATGTCCTCTAGATATCTCTAACGTCACATGTCCCAAGTCAAAGCTTGATTACTTCTCTAGCCCACTCCCAAACTGTTCCCAGTCTGCCCCTTCTCAGTTAATGACAGCCTCATCCTTCCAGTTGCTCAGGGCAGAAATCTTTTTTTTCTTTCTGGTACATGCCCTTAGTGGGAACCGAACCCGGGACTCTCTGGTCCGCAGGCCAATGCTCCAACCGCTGAGCCAAACCGGCCAGGGCTCAGGGCAGAAATCTTAAAGTCATCCTTGACTCCTTTCTCATACAGCCCATTTCCTGTCCATCAAAATATCCTTATGGCTCTACCTTCAAAATCTGTATTTCCAGATTCTGTCTACTTATCACTGTCTCCACTTCTTTTACTGTGTTCAAGCTACCATAACTTTTTGTATTTTTATAAGTCTCCTGATATGTCACCTGACTTCTACATTTGCCCCCTAGCAGTCTGTTCTCCCAACAGCCAGACTGCTGTTAAACATAAGTCAGATCATATAACTCTTCCAATGGCTTCCCCGATTTCTCCAAGTTAAAGTCCTTAAAACATATTTTGCCCCAACCGTATCTTCTACTCTCCCTTTAGCTCCGTTCCTGCCATTCACTGACCTCCTTGATGACCTTTAAATGACATGGCATGAGGCTCAGGACTCAGGGCCTTCGTACTTACTGTTCCCTCTGCCTGGAATGATGCTCCCAACATTGCTCGTTTCCTTGCCTCAGAGGTCACCTTCTTAGTGAGACCTTTCCCGACCACCCTGTGAAAAATGGAAACCACTTCACAGCCCCCGTTCTCCTTTCCTGCCTTTCTCCTTGGCACTCGTCACCGTTTATTATACTGTAGGTGTCCTCAATTATTTTTGTCTCTCCCTACTAGAGTATAATCTCCATGAAAAGTAAACAGAAAGGGCTTGTGTTTACTGTGTTCACTGCTGAATCCTCAGCGCCTTAAACAGCCTGCTTGGTGAGTAAATCAGAGATGCACGTGCACAAGGAAGGGACAATACAAACGAAATCTGTGAGCACTTTCGGGAGGCTCCACCGGCAGGGGCTCGCAGGTAATGGCTAACTTCACAGAGGAGGAAACTGAGGCACAGGAAGCAGAAAAGCCATGGTGAGAAACCCAGAGGTAACCCAGCACCCTGTCTTCTTCCCTGCAGAGCCCGCCGCCTCCCGGGCCAGTAAGAGCGGCGTGGAGGAGCGCTCTCCTGCGGCGAGTCAGCACGCTGGTCTCGGACCCAGGCCGGACCCAGGCCGGAACCAGGCCGGGGCGTGACAGGTCAGCTCAGTACCGGCCCCACCAGCTTCCCGCGGGAGTGTCTCAGTTACCTTCGCTTGGTAAGGGATGCTGTCTGCAGGGAGGGGGGGGGGGGGTGCTGGGGATGCTGTCTGCTGGGGATGCTGAGGATGCTGTCTGCAGGGGGTTCTGGGGGTTCTGGGGATGCTGGGGTGCTGGGGATGCTGTCTGCAGGGGGTGCTGGGGATGCTGTCTGCAGGGGGTGCTGGGGATGCTGTCTACAGGGGATGCTGGGGATGCTGTCTACAGGGGGTGCTGGGGATGCTGTCTACAGGGGGTGCTGGGGATGCTGTCTACAGGGGGTGCTGGGGATGCTGTCTACAGGGGGTGCTGGGGATGCTGTCTACAGGGGGTGCTGGGGATGCTGTCTGCAGGGGATGCTGGGGATGCTGGATTTGCCCGCTTCGCGCCGGGAGCGAGCCGCTTCCCCGCGGCCGCAGGCGCCCGGAATCCAAAGTCAGGGTCTCGGTTTCCGCCCGGGGAGCTGCCCCGCCGCTCCCGGAAGCTGCGCTCGCTGCCGGGCAACGGGAAAGGCGGCGGCGCGGCCATGGAGCTGGAGGAGGCGGTGAGCGGGCGGGCCCGCACGGCCGGCGGGAGGGGAGCGAGGCCGCGGAGAAGCGGCTGCAGGAGGCCGACTGGCTGCGGGGCGGGGCGGGGCGGGGCGGGGCGGGGGCTGCGGACAGGAGAGCGGGTGTTTGGGGAAGAGGCCGGGGTTTCTGGCTGGATGAGGTTGCGGGTGAAAAGAGGGTGGGTGATCGCCCCTCTAGGTGCTTCAGGAGGAAGACCAAGGTGCGGGTTTTGTGGGGTGGCACCCACATGGGCCATCCTCTCTGGACAGGACCGCCCACAAGTTCCCCTCGATGCCGATGCCGGGGTGGGACCCCCGGGAGCCCTCGCCTCCGGCTGGGGCAGGGATTCCAAATTCGGGTCTGGGGACGCCCCGGGGAATGATAGTTATCAATACGGGGTAGAGGAGCACTTGACCAACAAAACGTGTTTGGCATTCATTGTTGACACACTACATAAAATGCTGCACTCTGATGACATCAAAGGAGTCAGTAGTGGGATCAGCGACAGTGGCAAACACCAGAGAGCTGCCTATCAGTATGACAGGCTAGGTATGTATAGGAGCCTTATGGGAATAGAAGGCCTTACTCCTTGTAGATGCTCAATAGATGTTGATTGGGTGATGGGTAGGTGACGTCTGTAAATGCTAGGTTAATCACGTTGACCATTGTAACTCACCTCAGCCTGTTAATGCTATGAGTAGGGATCGTGTCTGGCTCACCACTGAATCCTTATCACCTAAACAGATAGTTGATACTCCTTGCATTGCTGAATGAATAAGTTGAAACTTGAAACAACTCTAATAAAAATCTGGTTTCTTTGTGGTATGTGCTTTTAGTGTCCTGGAGGAAGTTCCCAATGGCATCCTATTTCTATTTTTTAAGTCTTCTCTCTACTTAAATCTTGTCATCTTTTTTCATCATAGATTTTGCTCAATTTTTTTCAATTTTACCCCTACCACTTTTTCCTTATTTTTTCCCCCTCACACGTTGCATATTTTAGAACTTTTTCTTTAATAGTTTAATTTCATTTCAAACTGCTCAGGAAACTGAACTGCTGTTTTTCTCGCTTATAGATAATCTCTGTCTTACATATTTTCTACGATTTTTTGTTGTTGTTAATCTTCACCCGACAATACTTTTTCCATTGATTTCTAGATAGAGTGGAAGGGACGACGGGAGACAGAGAGAAACAAGCATCAATGGGAGAGAGACACATCAACTGGTTGCACCCCCCCATGACCCCTGCCCTGACTGAACCGAGATACATGTCCTTGAACGGGAATCGAACCTGAGACCTTTCAGTCTCAAGGCCAATGCTCTATTGCTGAGCCAAACCTGCCAGGGCTGATTTTTGTTATTTATGGGGTAATACTGCAGGTAACCCGCCCTGGCCGGTTTGGCTCATCGGTTAGTGCATTGCCCAGTGCATCAAAGAGTATCGCCGGCTTGGATTCTAGCCAAGGGCACTGTACCTCTGTTACAGTTCATCCCAGCCCTGGTCGGGGTCATGTGGGAGGCAGGCAATCAATGTGTCCCACTCACATCGATGTTTCTCCCCCACCCGAAGATATTTAAGAAAATGTCCTGGCCCTGGCCGGTTTGACTCAGTGGTTAGAGCGTTGGCCTGCGGTCCAGAGAGACCCGGGTTTGGTTCCTGCTAAGGGCATGTACCTCAGTTGCAGTTTGTCCCCAGCCCTGGTTGGGTCGTGCGGGTGGCAACCACTTGATGTGTCCCTTTCACATTGATGTTTCTCTCTCTCTCTCTTCCTCTCTCTCCCTCCCACTCTACCTGAACAAAAAATGGAAAAATGTCCTCGAGTGAGGATTAAAAAAGAAAAGAAAAGATCCTCAGGTGAGGATTAAAAAACAAAACAAACAAACTGCAGGTACCCCTAGTAGAACTGCAGGGTTAGGTACAATGTACTGAATGTGGTCTTCCTCTTCGCCTACAGAAAGAATTCAGAGAACGCTGTACTCAGTGCGCTGCTGTCTCTTGGGGTCTTACTGATGAAGGCAAATATTATTGTACTTCTTGCCACAACGTTACAGAAGTAAGTAACAGATCTCATCTATGAATTGGCTCATGTTTTAAAACATTGCAGTTTCAGCCTCATATGTGGCAAAGAATTGATCTGTTTTTATGGGTCTTGGATTGCCCCAATTCCAAGAATGTAAGTAGTCTTCAAGTGCTTACACAAGGGCGAAAGAATTTGTAAATTAGATTTAGGATGAGTTTTTGCAATTGTGTTGGGCCATATATATAAATGCTTTCCTGATTCAGACCGTATAGTCTAAAGGGAAATAATTGAATTGCACTTAGAAGATGATGCATTTCTTTTTATTAATACTTATTTAAGAGTTTTTAATGTGTTGTGGTAGCTTAGAGGTTTGGATGGTGGAATGTTAGAAAGGCATGAGGACTGTAAGGAGTACTGGAAATATGCTTCATTATTATTTTATCTATGTACAGTACCTTACAGATTGGCAAGTGTTTTCTTACCCATTATTTAATTTTCTTCTCATAACAGCCTGTGAGATATACTGTTGTGCCTATGTATAGATGGGGCAAGTAGGGCTCACTAGTTGATTGAGTTTGCCAAAGTCATATGAGTATAAAGTATTGAACCAGGACTTGAACGTGAGTCTTCTGACTCCGGTGTTTATTTTGTCCCACCACACCTGCCTCTTAAAGTAGAGATTGTCATACTGTCCTGAGTAGCCTTGATGAATGAGGCTGCCTTCACTCTGGGAGTTCTGGGCCCTGTTCTGGTCACACATCTTCAGGGCAGTCTAACCAGAATCATCAAGGGTGTGGACAACCTGCTGTTGGACAGGCTACCTGTGCCAGGACTCTTCCATCTGGAAGAGGGTTTGCTCAGAGTCTACAGGGCCAGGAAGGAGTAGATATTACCTTTACCACATCTGCTTAAGAAAGGCACATTTGGGACAGATAAGAGTAACTGTAGATTTGTGCTTCTGGTCAAGATGGAATAGTGGGAACCAGAATTACCTTCCTACCCCCAACAACTAAAAACCTGGAAAAGATATACAAAACAAGTAAAAAAAAAAAAAAAATCCCTTGAGAAAAGTGGTTAATTTAGCTTGCAGCTCAGTCACACAAGCCTTTCCTTGAGACATCCTTGCTCTCCTGTCGCAGTGGAAGGGCTCATGTCTGCTGGTGCGTGGTCACAGAGCAGGGTCAGTGCCCCTCTGATGGGAGGGGGCGCGATGCAAATGTTCGTTATTCTGATTATGTGAGGGTTTGCACGCACAAAAGCCCACTGCTTTTGGAAAATCAAATTTATGGGTAGAATGTCTGCATATTATTTCCACATAAAATCATGTCTATAGTAAGTGTCTACATGTTATTTAAAAGTACTAAACAACGGTAGAAAGTCAATTACTTGGAAGAAAATAACTTCACCACTGAAGTAGGTGATATATTTCAAGAAAAATATATACTTAGTTATGTTTCTATATTTTTAGGTTATTTACGACTAAGTATGTTAAGAGTATTAAGTAACTCAATTTTTATATTTGTTAGGACAGAATTTAGACTACATTGCAAATTCGTAGTGTTATATAATTGTGTAGCTAGATTTTTATTTCAGTATTAGTAAAAAAAGGGGGACAGATCACTGGACCTGGTATTAGAAGACCCGAATTCTAGTGTGGTTCTGCCTTTGTGTTCTTATTTGTAAAATACGGCTCATTTGTAGATAATATTATTGATGTAACAATTAGGAGAAATATATATGCAATCAAAGACATTTGTACAATTTAAAAAAAAACTTAATACTTATGTGTGTGTGCATGAGTGTGTTTGTGAGTGAGTGAGAGAGCGAGCGAGAGAGCGAGAGCGAGAGCGCACAAGCCAGAATCTTAGGTACCAGCCCTTGAGAACACTTGGAATTGAAGACTTTGGGATGAATTGTACTCACCACTTAATCATTCTAAGATCTTACATGTTTTATAAAAAATAAAATGTAGTACTTTTATAATTTCATAAATAAAGCTGTTTTAGAGTATTATTCAAACACAGAAAAGTAGGATGTGTAGCTTAGGCATTGCTAATTATAATAAATACAGAAATTAATTCCAAAGTGTGTTTTGGGTGCAGAAAAAGTGAATGTATTTGACTTTAGGTTTGATTTGAAACAATTAAAAATTGATTTGACATAAAAGTTTATTCATTTGGCAGACATTTATTTAGTGGTTACTATATTCCAGGCACTGTTTTAGGTACTGCATAATTTGAATGAGAAAGCAACAAAAAGGATAGTCAGAATGTTCCAGTGTATGTAACTTTCCCTCAGTGTTACCATTGTTGGTTCTGGTGCTCACAGTTTGGTTCATTATACTTCCAAAGAGGGCTTTGGAAGTATACTTAGGGAGGCGTGAAGCTATCTTTTGAATTATATGTTTCTGTTTCCTGCAGAGATCGAAGGAGGTTTTAAGCACTGAGGCTATTCCTAATACGAAAATACAAGCCATCAACCGGGGACTGAAAAGGAAAAAGAAACCTGGTGAGCTCTTTCCTCGTATCTGCTCAGCATCTTCAGTCATGGTCTCACCTTGCTTTGGGGATGTGGAGTGGAAAGTTAAATAGATTCTAGAGAAGTTGCCAGAATTTTAAGCAGGCAGACCGAAGTGGAATGCAAGTGGGTAATTACTGATGGTAAAATTGGAAGCAAATGTCTTAAAGCAGGTCCTTTTCCACCTGCTCACTGTTGAGCGTCTTTTCCAGGGGAGCAACTACTATGCAAAAAAAATAATGATAACAAAAGGAGCGTATCTCTTTTTATCTGTTGGCATATATTTTTCTGTTCTATATTTATCATCTGTCATGAATATGACTTTCTGTGCTTTAAAGGAAAATGCTTATTTTCTGAAATGATTCAGCTGGTATTGTCAGGTTAGGCGAGTTAAACCAGATATTCAACTTTTAGAAATCCACTTCTCACACTGAATTTTGAACACACCCTTTTAAAATGGGGAAGATTATTTTCCCTTAGAATAGCCTCAGCATGGCCGTGCTTTAAAAGGTGATCTGTTTCATTAACCCAGTGAGTACATATATTACCCGTAATCGAGAAGAATCTGAAGTAAAGTCTGTCAGATGCCTTTTATTTCTGTAGCTGATTACCTAGGACCAGATGCCCAAGTTTGAAACCAGGCTAATGATAATGGCTCCGTCCACATGGGGAGCTTTAAGGGTATACGCACATGAAATAAATATGTATTACTATTAATGAACTCAGTATGAAATACATTGACATTCTCTGGTGAAGAACCGAGAGAATGACTAAATGCTAATGTTCCTGTTTACCTTTAATAGAGACTATTTTTAGTAGGCTAAAACCTGATTAATTTTCATTAAATATTATTAGGGTGAAGCCTGATTCATTTGGACTTGACGTATGTAAACAGTTAAAATGGATAGTTTGAACTGAAATAGCCGTAGGAACGTTAGGTGCTTCAAATTAGATGTTAAGTGTCTTTTTTTTTTTTTAATCCTCACCTGAGGACATTTTTCCTGTATTTTTTGTTTGTTTGTTTGTTTGTTTGTTTTGTATTTTTTGTTCAGATAGAGCGGGAGGGAGAGAGAGAAACATAGATGTGAAAGGGACACATCGAGTGGCTGCCTCTAGCACGACCCAACCAGGGCCGGGGACAAACTGCAACCGCGGTACGTGCCCTTAGTGGGAACCGATCCCGGGTCTCTCTGGACCACAGGCCGACACTCTAACCGCTGAGCCTAACTGGCCAGGGCAAGTGTGTCTTATATTCAACCTCTTTGACCTTAGTCTCTTCCTCTGTAAAATGAAAGAGGTCATACAATTTGTTGTTATGTGAACTGGGAACCCAGACTTGGAATTTCACATCGTAAGAACAGAGCAGGAAGGAGCACACGTGTACACAGGGTGAAAAGCTTAAACTCCCTCTACTCCAACTTGAGGGATGCATCCAAATTACAAGGCTTTCTGTTTCACTCATGCACAGCCTAAGACCCTCTCCGAAAACTGGGGAGACTTGTGGCCGTGAGGTAAGAGAGGGGATAGCAGTCCTGTAACATTCCGCAGGGAAGAGGGAGCTTGGAGTCATCGTAACAGGCTTCAGAAGCTCTGTGTAAAAAAGCTGATAACCGCCCTGGCCGGTTTGGCTCAGCGGTTAGAGCGTCGGCCCACAAACCAGAGGGTCCCGGGTTCAATTCTGGCCAAGGGCACGTACCTCGGGTGCAGTTTGTCCCTGGCCCTGGTTGGGGTCGTGTGGGTGGCAACTACTTGATATGTCTTTCTCACATCGATGTTTCTCTCTCTCTCTTCCCCCTTCTCTCCCTCCTGCTGTATCTGAAGATAAATGCAAAAAAAAAGTCCTCAGGTGAGGATAAAAAAAAGCCGATAACCTACTTTTCAAAAAGCACAGGGAGGGGTAAAAACAAGGGTGTTCGCAGATTTGAACATTTGCTTTAACGGGTAGTTCTGTTTAAACATGTAGTTCTTATCTGTGGTGGTGGCAGATTTCTTCACAGTCTCTCAGGGTGATTTTGAGGATTGAAGAAAGTAACCTATTTACAATACCTAGCCCATACTGGTAGCTAGGCAGAACTCCGTAAGTATTTATTCTTTGCTTGCATTTACTCCCTAGAACCTAAACCATTTTCAGAACAGGAGAATGCCACCAAGCACTTGGTTTTGGAATGTTCTTATTGCTCCTGTATGCTTGGACCATCACATCTTGCTGTGGTTCATTCATTCCCCAGATACTCACTGTCGCCTTTCTCTGTGAGTCGGAACAGCCGTGGTAGAGCCGTGGCTGGGCACTGAGTGTTCCCCCATCCAGGATTCTGCGGGGCATTGTTCAGTACACTGTGCATTTTAAAAACTTATTTCATTTGTTTCACATGATGACTGTTCATTTTTCTACCTTTTACATTAATATTGCAGAAGATTATAGATAATTTAAAATATAAAATCTTATCAATTATAAAAATAATGTTTAGCTTTAGCATTTGTGTATAAATTTGCCACATTGGAAATAAGAGAATGCAAGAATAGAAACCCTATTCAGGGATACAAAAAAATTCATTTGCAATGTATAAAACATAAGCGTCACTGTGGAGTAGCGCAAAGCAAGTGCATTAGGTAACACACAGCTGTCACTATGGAGTAGCGCACAGCAAGTGGATTAGGTAGGAAAGCTGTTACTGTGGAGTAGCACATAGCGAGTGAATTAGAACAGCTGTCACTGTGGAGTAGCGCACAGCAAGTGGATTAGGTTGGAAAGCTGTTACTATGGAGTAGCACATAGCGAGTGAATTAGAACAGCTGTCACTGTGGAGTAGCGCACAGCGAGTGGATTAGGTAGAACAGCAGTCACTGTGGAGTAGCGCACAGCGAGTGGATTAGGTAGGAAAGCTGTTACTGTGGAGTAGCACACAGCGAGTGAATTAGAACAGCTGTCACTGTGGAGTAGCACACAGCGAGTGGATTAGGTAGAACAGCTGTCACTGGAGTAGCGCACAGCGAGTGAATTAGGAATGCAAATGTCTGAAACATGTTATTTGTCGTTTAGAGAAAGGCTGGGATTGGTATGTGTGTGAAGGTTTTCAGCACATACTTTGTCAACAAGCAGAAGCCTTAAAGACCCTGGGAGTCAGCCCAGAATTTAAGGTGAGTCCATTTGTGTCTAGATGTTAGTTTTACATATTTGTTGTTTGAAGAACAGTAAGATTTAGAGTGAAATTAAGGAGAAAAGTAGAGTTACTGGAAGAATAATTTTTTCTGATATTTTTGCTTTAACCCTTTTATTAGACCAGCAGTTCCCAAAGTGCATTCTATAGGATGTAAATAAGCAATACATCTAAAAGAAAATGAAAAAGGTTTTAGTCATCAGATAATTGGGAAACATTGGCTTAAACAAAGTAAAGCAAATAACTTTGCAAAGGTGTGTAGCGTCCACCAGGACTTGAGTGCCAGCGTGCGCTCTGGGCAGTGATGCGTTAGACCGGTGTTTCTCACATTTGAATTTGTGTCAGACGCAGCTGGAGGGCTTGTTGAAACAGATCGCCGGACCCATTCCAGAGCTTCGGGTTCAGTGGGTCTGCAGGAGGGCCCTAGAATGTGCCTGTCTCAGGAGTTCCCGGTGACCGGGCGCGTCTGGGCCAGGGACCGTACTCTGACTTTGCTGCCTCTCGAGAGTATCCCCGAGAGGACTTTTTATTAGTTGAATTTTGCAGTTCCCATTGTAGTTGAAGCCATTTCAAGAATTCTTTCCAAGCCAGTTATTTAGCAACAGTGGTCATTGAACACTTGCTTCCTGCCTGTCGTCGGAAACCAGTGCTAAGAGACGCAGCCTAGTGAAGAGAGGGTTGTGTGCACTGTGGAATGAAGACACGCACCCATGGCATCAAGGTGAAAAGAGAAGGGAGGAAGCTAGGTGACTGTGGACTGTAGTCACTAAGGAAAGATTTTTTTTTATCCTCACTCGAGGACGTTTTTTTTGCATTTATCTTCAGATAGAGCGGGAGGGAGAGAGGGAGGAAGAGAGAGAAAGAAACATTGATGGGAGAGAGACACATCGACCATCTACTGATTGGTTGCCACCCACACGATCCTATCCGGGGCTGGGGACAAACTGCAACTGAGGTACGTGCCCCCAGCGGGAACCGAACTCGGGACTCTCTGGTCCGCGGGCCGATGCTCTAACCACTGAGCAACCGGCCAGGGCACCAAGGGAAGATTTATATAGAGGAGCCTTTGCTGTGAGGGCAAGCCAAAACGGGGTGACCTGTAGACCCGTGCACGGCCGGAGAGGACACGCTGGATAACCATAGGAATTAGACACTGCAGACGTGACCCCAGAGACGTGTGCTCGGCAGTCCGTGCACACTCCACCTGCTGGCTAAGGAGCGCGGGATGTGCGGTGCGGGAGACTGTGGTTTGCATGTGCCCATGTGCTTGTCACCACGGCCGCAATCACCACTCGTTTCCTTCCGCCTTAGAATCAAGTTCTACATAAGTTCTGGAAGCGCTACCTTCAGAAGAGCAAGCAGGCGTACTGTGAGAACCCAGTGCACACCAGCAGGAGGAGAGCCACGGTAAGCCACAGGCCTGAGAAGTGGGCCGGACACGTCCAGTGAGACGGAGATGTGTGTGGGCTCAGCCTCAGCTGGGTTAGGGTGCTCGTCAGAGTTTTCGGCAAGGGGGTTTCTCTCCTAGTCCAGGACCAGCAATCCCACTGATCTGGGCACTGGAGTTAACTGACTTCTTCTTTAACTAGTTGAAACATAAAGATATGTGTGGTTAAGTTCTAAGCAGAAGCTGAAGGAGTTTCTATCATTGTACTCTTTATTTATTTATTTTATCCTCACTGAGGACACTTTTTTTTTTTTTATCCTCACCCGAGGACATTTTTGCATACAGATAGGGTGGGAGGGAGAGGAGAGAGAGAGAAACATCGACGTGAAAGAGACACATTGAGTGGCTGCCACCCGCACAACCAACCAGGGCCGGGGACAAACTGCAACCGAGGTACATGCCCTTAGTGGGAACCGAACCCGGGTCTCTCCAGACCGCAGGGCGATGCTCTAACCGCTGAGCCAAACCGGCCAGGGCTGAGGACACTTTTGCATTTATCTTCAGATAGAGCTGGAGGGAGAGAGGGGGAAAGAGAGAGAGAGAAACATCGACGTGAGAGAGACACATTGACTGCTTGCTACCCACACGAACGCAACCGGGACTGAGGACAAACTGCAACTGAGGTACATGCCCTTAGTGGGAACTGAACCTGAGACTCTCTGGTTCCCGGGCCGACGCTCTAACTGCTGAGCCAAACCAGCCAGGGCTATAATTGTGCTATTTAAAAAAATTTTTTTAGCCTGGCCAGTTTTGCTCAGTGGTTAGAGCATTGGCCCATGGACCGAAGGGTAAAGGGTACATACCTGGGATGCAGGTTCGATCCCCAGCCCTGGTTGGGGTTGTGTGGGAGGCAACCAATTGATGTGTCTCTCTCACACTGATGTTTCTCTCTCTCTTTCCCTTCCTCTCTAAGATTTTTTTAAACAAATAAAACTAAATAGATAAGGTATTAGTTGGTTATATTTATGCCCTGGGGCTTTGCCTAACACATAGAAAATTCAAATCAGAACCTGGTATTTTTCTGAGATTTTAATATTTTTATGTTAACTTAAGGTACTAAAAATTTTTTAGTGCCTTGGCCAGTTTGGCACAGCTATTAGTGTGTTGGCCAGTGGACCAGAGAGTTGCGGGTTCCATTCTGTCAAGGGCATGTTCCTCGGTTGTGGTCCTTCCCGGCCCTGGTTGGGTCGTGCGGAGGGCAACCAGTCGATGTGTCCCTCTCACACTGAAGTTTCTCTCTCTCCCTTTCTCCCTCCCTCCCACTCTATCTGAAGATAAATGGAAAAGTATCCTCAGGTGAGGATTAAAAAAAAAAAAAAGGTTTTGACTTGAGTAAACACACTTGTAAAGTCATAATTATTGTCTCACTGAAATTTTGTTGGGGAATACATAAGCAATTAACAAAATTTTAAGCTGATATGTAAATTAGTAATAGAAGTTCTATCAAAAGAGGACAACTATACTCAACTTTGGAAGGAAAAAGGAACAAGTGCTTTTAAATTAGAAACTTGGTCTTCTCAAGTATTCAATAAATATTTTCTTGGTGCTTTGGATATAACTGTTCTAAGAATACTAAGAGGTCTGCATCTGAAACCTGGCTCCATTACTTTTGACATGTGTGATTGTGGGGAAATAAAAACGTAAAACTTACAGAAAAAGCAAACAAGCAAACATATAAATCAGGGTAAGGGGGACAGAAGATGGGGTGGCAGCGAAGGGTGCTATTTGAAACAGTGGTCAGGGAAGGCGTCCCTGACTGGGGGGTCTTGAGGAAGTGAGAGAGTAAGCCCTGAGGATAGCTCGGTCAGACGGTCAGAGCTTCTGGCCTCGCCTGCCCGGGGCTGCTGAGTCAGAGTCTGCCTGGAACCCAGCCCCTCGGGGCTTCCTGTGTGCTCTCCAGTTTGAGAAGCACTGCTCTAGATGAGTAGCTGGGCCCAGCTGGTTAGCAATGGGAATGGTAAGTGGTAGGGTTCTAGATGAACTTTGGATAAACCAACAGAACTTCCTGATGGATTGGATGTAGGAAGTAAGAGAAAGAGGGGTCATCAGGGAGGACTCTTAGGGGTTTTGACCTGAGCAGCTGGAAGGAAGGAGTTGCCATCAGCTGAAATAAGGGCTGGAGCAGGAAGGATCAGCAGTTCCGTGTGGACCATCAGGTTTGAGACAGCCATCAGACATCCAAGAGGAATGTCAGAAGTCATTAGAAACACAAATCTTCCGTTCAGGAGGGGGATTTGGACAGGAGGTATAAATTTGGAGGCTGTCAGTTTACATTATAATCATCAAACCTAATGTGCCATTGTTTGTAAGATGCAGCATTATTGTAGAATTGAGAACAACACAGTACCTAGTATTGAAAACCACAAGATGAGATGACATGACATCACCAAGGAGTGAAGACAGAAGAGGACCAAGAACTGAGCTCTAGGCCACTCCCAGGTTAAGTGTCTGGGATGAAAGGAACCCGTGAAGAAGTCTGAGAAACGGCTGGTGAAGTAGGAGGAAGCCCAGAGTGAGGGGACATTCTGGAAACTAAAGAACAAAGTGTTTCAAGAGGAAGGGAGTGATCAATTGTGAGAAATGCTGCTGCCCAGTCAAGAAGGAAGAGAGCAAAAAACTGATGAGTGGAGTGGGGGTATCAAAAGTTTTGTGGGCCCAGCTGGTTGTGGCTCAGCAGACTGAGTGTCGTCCCATGGACTGAGAGGTCCTGGTTCGATTCCCGGCAGGGCACATGCCTGGGTTATGGGTTTGATCCCCAGTAGGGGTATGCAGGAGGCAACCAATTGATGTTTCTCTCTCACATCAATGTTTCTGTTTCTCTCTCTCTAAAAAATTAATAAAAGCATATTTTTTAAAACGGAAAAACAGCCTTGGCCAGTTTGGCTCAGCAGTTAGGGCATCGGCCTGTGGACCAGAGAGTCTCGGGTTCGGTTCCCGCTAAGGGCACGTACCTCGGTTGCAGTTTGTCCCTGTCCCTGGTTGGGGTTGTGAGGGTGGCAACCACTTGGTGTATCTGTCTCACATCGATGTTTCTCCCCCACCCACTCTATCTGAAGATAAATGCAAAAATGTCCTTGGGTGAGGATAAAAATAAATACATTAATTTAAAAATGCAAAAACAAAAAAAGATTTATTGGCATAGGGGTTTAAGATAGAGCAGTAGAAAGAAGTGGGGACAGCAGGTCTGGACAACTGTCTAGGTGCTCTGCTGCAAAGAGTACAGGGGTTCCTCGGAGACACTGTGAGCTCGGTTCCGGACCACGGAAACGAAGAGTGTAACAATAAGGCAGCTCACAGTCTGTGCGGTGCAGTCTTGCCTTCAGTTCATAATAAACACAGCGCCTGTGACGTGCGAAGAGCGAAGCACAGTGCAGCAGTTTGCGCAGAGACCGCACTGTAGCTGGAGTCCAGGAAGTGGACGAACGACGGCGTATTCGTGTACTGTCAGGAGGTGACAGGAGAGAGTGGAAGTGATGATAATCTGTGAGCAGAGCGAGGGGTGGGGTTGGGTGCTTGAAGGGAGATGCTGGCTGCAGATGGAGCTGGATGCCCACCAGGAGGGTCAGGGTGGGGTATGTGGTCTGTGCGAGCCTGCGGGAGCCTCCTGACGATTCCCATGGTCTCAGTGAGTCCACGCACACCCGCCACTTCCTAGTGCACCTGCGTCTCGCGTGCTTAACTACAGAGGGGACGTGCTTGACGGAGGACACCAGCACCTTGTCCCTGGTTTGTGTGGTTTTTTCTCTTTATTCTCTTGTGTGTTTTCTTTTCTTTTTTTAAATCCTCACCTGTGGATACTTTTCCATATCTTCAGACAGAGTGGGAGGGAGGGAGAAACATCAGTGTGAGATAGACACACTGACTGGCTGCCTACTGCACGACCCTGACCAGGGCTGGGACTGAACTGCAACCAAGGTACATGCCCATGACCAGAATCGAACCCGCAACTCTTTGGTCCCCAGGCCGACATTCTAACCACTGAGCCAAACCAGCCAGGGCTCTTGTGAGTTTTCTTAACCTCAGTCTTATCTCTTCTTAATACAATCAAGTTTCTCGGCCTGCATGACTGGGAACATGGCTTCTTTTCTGTGATCAGTTCCTCCAAGGTTAATATTGGCTAATGAGGCTTTTAGGTCAGCAGCCGGCTGACCTTTCTTAGGACACTCTAACTACCATTTCAACAATACATGTGTAAAAAAATTAAACAATGGTATGAGATAGTATACCCTTGTCAATTAAGTGTTTTAAACAGTAAGTGCTGCAGGAGTTCGAGGAAACGAGAAATCACTGAAGAAGGGCCATTAGAAGGATGATGTGGTAGTGTCACTCACGAGCTGGAGAGGGGAAGGAAGGACAGTCCAGGCAGGCGTGGAATTAGCGCAGATCCAAAGCAAAGGTCCCCTGCTTGGCTGGGAGAAGAGAGGCGGCCGGTCGGTGTGCACGGAGTCATCACTGACACTGGTGTTTTGTCGGTGTGGGACCAGAGCTGCCAGAGGGCTGGCAGTTCCAGGGAGAAGGAAGCCTGGTGGTTCCCTGACTCACCCTCATCGGCTGCCCGTCTCCGAGAAGCACTGGAGGAGCTGCCCGGGAGCCCGCAGCCCAGCGAAGGTCTTTGGGTCTTAGAGACTTGGCGGACAGTCGCAGTTATCTAGCGTGGTTTCTTTTTATTTTATTTTATTTATTTTTTATCCTCACCCGAGGACATTTTTCCATTTTTTGTTCAGATAGAATGGAAGGGAGAGAGAGGAAGAGAGAGAGAGAGAGAGAAACATCGATGTGAAAGGGACGCATTGAGTGGCTGCCTCCAGCACGACCCAACCAGGGCCGGGGACAAACTGCAGCCGAGGTACGTGCCCTTAGCGGGAACTGAACCCGGGTCTCTCCGGACTGCAGGCCGATGCTCTAACCGCTGAGCCAAACTGGCCAGGGCTAGAGTGGTTTCTTTATGGTGTTTGTGTTGGTCAGGAATTGTTTAAGTTCATGGAAATTGATTGCGGTTTTAAATTCCTGTGCAGTAACTTTATATTATTTTGCAAACAGGTCTTGGGAGATGATCCAAGTCATTCAGACTGGGGGAGTGAGCCTGAGCTGCTGAGTGACTTCAGCTGCCCTTCTTTTGCTGGAAGTGGCGCAGAGTCTCAGTCTGATGGCCGCACTCGGAAGCCTTTCCCCAGCGGCACAGCCTCACAGTCAGGTAACAGAGACTCAGACCGCCTAGAGTTTTAAAGCTGGTCATACTCCTTGGAAATAATGTAGTCCAGTCGCTTCCTGTTCCATGGAAGGGAAGTTGGCCTAGCAAAATCATCCAGCTAAGAAAAAGGTAAATTAAATGAAATCATAGTGTAATTTTTCAGAAGGTATATTGTCTCCATGTGAATATTTTCATATGATGTTTAAAGGGAGCTAAACAGTAAGCAGATCCAGAAAGAAGGAGGCCAACTCAATAAAGATCATATATATGTGTGGGCTCAGAGGTCCAAAGAAAAGTTACTGCAGAGAAAAGATAGAACTTAGCCATTTGGTAAGGTAGACAAGAGTCAAAATGATATGCCCAGGTTCTAAGCATAGACTAAAGCAAACTGAATAAAACCATATTACGTGTGTATGATCTTATTTTCTGATTTAATTCCATAATTTAAAATAGATAAGGAGTCTTTAAAATTACAGATATAGACCTTGCCAAATCACTTATTCATGATTTTAGTTGTTTCCAAACTACATTTAAAAAAAAAAAAAACATGGAGGAAAACAGACCTCAAAGGACAGACCAGGCTTTTCTTACAGGTGACTAGAATCTTGATGTGTGTTGACAGAGTGCTTTGGGAGACCGCTTCCAAACCCTCTGGTGTCAGAACTGGGTGAAATCTGGGTTAAGTGTGGTTGTATAACATTTTCAGCAAAACGTTTCTTGTATGAACTCCTCTGCAAGCCCCTTGCCCCTCAAAGATTAGCCATTCCTTTGATCAGCGTATCCACATTTCTTGCTGGACTGCACATGACACAGATATCAGATAAGTTACTGTTCTGTCCATAGAAGTTAGGGTCGTAGAGTAACTGAGAGCTGTGATCTCTGGAGTTCCCTCCCGTGCCTTCGGCAAGCCCGAACTCAGACGTGCCCGGGGACCAGGACTCAAAAGCCTCCGCCTGTTGAAGCATCGTGATCGTTTACCTGTTACGTCTGTGGTTTGTTTTGTAGTAAGTGGCGATCCTCGGAGCTTTATTCTAGTTCTTACATTAAATGTAACTATTAATATACTGTAACTCCTCCTGTTACAAAGGAAATGAAGTCAGCAGTTATTGTACCACCCAGAAGTAACCACTATTGCTATAGGAGATCATTCCAGAAAGCTTCTTCTTCACATAGCGAGAGAGAGAAGGGAAGAGTTTTCTTACTTTGTTTTTGCAAAAAAGTGAGCTATTTCTTCATTCTTTACTTTTTTATTTTATTTATTGTACTTTTTCCATTACCACTTATCCCCTCTATCCCCTCTTCCACCTCCCTCCGAGATCATCACACTTGTCCACGTGCATGAGTTCTCTCTTTTATTTTCTTTTTTATGCTCAATCCCTGGACTCCCCCAACCCCCAACCAGAGCTGTCTGCCTGCTCATGCTATGTACATGTAATTCAAATATATTTGTAAGGCTTGTTATAAAAATTATAAAAATAAAAAATAAATTGTAGTCCCGTTTCCCCCACAGGACCTGCTCTACAGAAGCGCCCCCTTGCTCTCCTGCAGCCGCCTTTGTCTGTGTCCCAGGCCCGCTGCATCCGGCTCTGGGCTACAAATTCCCTCCGCCACACACCTCACGCCCCTCCTCCACCAGTCACCAGCACCCGAGTCTGCATTTTTCATTCTCTGTCTCCCCAATATAATTATAATTTTTACTAGATCAATATTTAGTGCTCAAACTATTATAAGTATTAAAATGCTACTCAGAACTGAGCCACATAGCTTCCTGTGTCCCACTTCCTGTCTGTCCTCTGGGTTTTCTAGTGTTGGTAATTGTCCTCTTGGTTTAGTTTTCTGTTTATTCATCACTAACGCATCTCCACACTTCCTGCCAGCTCCGAAGGAACCTCCCAGTTCCTTGGTGTTCTGTCAGTTTTCCTTCGGGAAGACGTCTCTGCAGCTTCTGTCTGCTCCCACCTGGACTGATGCACCTTTACACCTGTGACCGGCCGGCTGTGATCGCCACCATTCTGTCGCCCCTCTTGTTAAATTCCTATTTACTCGATCTGTTTCATCTTCTTCTTTGGTTTACTCCCTCGTTTTTGTGGAGCATCTTCTTATTTTGATGAGGATATTATGATATTTCCCGATTAGAGTGTTTTGACCTCTGCTTTTTATACAGACAACGTGCCACATAATGACATTTGGGTGATGGGGGACTGCATGTACACCGAGCACCATAAGATTATAAGAGATTACAAGAGAAAAGTTTGCAGTGTTGGAGGGAGAGGCTGGGCCCAACTGTGATGCCGAATTTGCTTCCAGCTCTGGGTAGTTAGCTACAGGAGGAGGCTCTGGGTGCTGTTCACTCGCTCTGCGAAGGCGGAGGTGGAGGCCAGGAGGTGGGGAGGAAGTGAGGACCAGCTGGGGAGGAGGGGAGCCCACCCTACTCCCCCCTTTGTGCACACACTGCGCACAAACTCACTCCCTTCCTCCAGTCCCTTCCTGTCTCTCCCTCTCTCTCTCTGTCTCTGGGTCTCTCTCCCTATTATTTTCTTTTTATCTCAAGCTTTAATCTCTCTGGGCTCTTTGGATCTCTGCTGCCCTTTCCTCTCCCTTTCTCTTCCCTGTCTCCCCGCTCCCTCCCTCCTGAGGTCTGCTCCCCTCCAGGGGCACCGCCCTCCACAGCCCTCTCCCTGCCCCCAGCACATCTAGGTGTGTAGTGGCCGAATACCAGGAGGTTTGTGTGAGTACCTCCATGATGTTAGCATGGGATGAGCTTCTCAGAACAGCCTTGTTAAGCCAGGTGTGACTGTTGGAAGCTTTCTTCAGATGTCTAGTGAGCCTGAGATGGCGGGTCCTGTGGAAGAACGGAGACTGAAGTGTCTTGTCAGGTCTGCTCTGGGGGAGAGGGTGGTCTGTCTGGTTCTTTCCTCAGTGAATCTGCAGCATTCTCACCTCGAAATCCCCACCCCGCCCTGGGGGTAGCCCTGGGGGTAATCCTGGCTGTGCTGGGAAGTGGGTGGGAAGAAGAAGGCCCCAGTGGGGGGAGTCGTTTCAAGACTCCATTGTGTAACCTTTCACTGGCTCCTCCCATTTTCAGTAAGATGCCCCTCTGTCAACGGTGCATGTGACTGAGGGTCCCTGTTCCAGGTCCCTTCTTTTACTCTCTGGGGGAGGAACTTCCAATTTTCTGCCAAGACTGGGGCTGGGGCAGGAGTCTGAGTGCTCTCTGCTTCTGGACCAGACTTTCAGGCAGCCCTCCTGGGAAGCCCCACCTTCGCCCGTTCCCAGGGGCACCTGGTCTGGACCATCCTGAGCCTTCCTCAGAGGTCCCAGGGTGAAGTCAGGGCTTGGCTTCCCTGCTGCCGGCCTGGGGTCTGCTGGCGCAGGGCTGCTGGGCACTCAGCGCCTGTCCGTGTGCTCTTGGCTTCCCTGCTGCCGGCCTGGGGTCTGCTGGCGCAGGGCTGCTGGGCACTCAGCGCCTGTCCGAGTGCTCTGCGGCCTTTACAGTTGTATTGCTTTCATCCCGTTTTCCATGTTCTTTGTTCTTGGGTTTATCTTTTTTTATTTGGGGGTATCTTTTTAAATTGCCTTTATAATTGTAGTTAAACAGCAGGGGCTAATGTGTGTTTTCAACCTGCCATCTTAACTGGAAGTTCCTGCAAGTTGTTATTTATATATATATAATTTTATATATTTGATGGAGATCTTTGTCTTCATACATCTTGTAAAACAGTCATCCTCAAACGCCAGCACCCATCCGAACACCACGGGCATGTTAGAGCGCAGACTGGTGCAGCCCTCGTCCGCGCTCAGCCGTCCCCAGTGCAGCTGCTCCAGGGACGGTACTTTGAGAACCACTGATTTATTTATTTATTTATTTATGTAAGATGATTAATGCAGACCTCCTTATTGTTGAAATAACATTCATAGCCAGAAGCCAAAGGCTGCTGCTTTATGTTCAACCAAAGAATTTTTTTCAATTTTTATTAATTTATTTTTGTTACAGATATTTCTCCTTTTACCCCTCTAGACACCCTCCTCCCCATCCCAACCTCCATCCCCCCTTGAGAACCACTGATTGAAAACACTGAGTTATTTAATTACATTTCTAGCCCTGTCACTTAGGCGTTTGCCATATTTTTCACATCATAAGCAGGGCCGCCGGAACATGCTTGGACCCTGAACCTCGCGTGTTTTCAGAACCATTTCACTGGGATGAAAACCCAAGAAGTAGAACTGCAAGATCTATTTGTCACCAGCATGGCTGGGCTCCTGCTCCGTGCTCAGGCCTGTGCGGGGCACCGGGACACTGTGAGCGGGCTGCCTGCCTGCAAGGTGCTTGGCCAGGAGTGGGAGGAGCAAGGAGGCTTCGGGTACCGACCAGTGCGAGAGGAAGGGCCGCGGGTTTGGGAAATTACTTTGGAGGGTGTTTGCCCAAGAAAGCTGAGTCTCGGGGTCATTCCTCACTTGCTTTCTGTCTGCCTCACTTCTGGCTTTAAACACCAGCTGTTCAATCGCTGGACTGACATCCCTGTCTCTGACCCAGCCTTTCCTCTGAACTACAGATCCTCATTTTCAGTTGGACACTTCGCATTTCTGTTTGTATGTTTAGTAAGATGTTACACGCGCCATGTGCACTTCTGATACCCGAATTTGTCTCATCAAACCTGCTCTTTGTCATCTCCCTGGTCTTAGTAAATGGCAACTCTATTCTTGTTGCTCTGGCCAAAAACCTTAGAATTATACTTGCCTTCACTTTCTCTCCTAGTTCACATCCAGTCCTTTAGGGAATCCTTTGACTCCGTCTTTAAAATATGTTCAGAATCCAGGCATCTTCACCACCTGCAGTGCTGCTGCTCCTGTTTGAGAGCCGTCCTTACTGTCCTGGATGGTGTCCTCTGTCCCCTGCTGCCCTCCTGTAATGCCGTTCTTCATGCAGCAGCCAGAGGGACCTTTATAAAGACACGAATGACATCGTGCTGCTCTCTGCTTAACAGTCTCCAGACTCCTCTTATCATAAATAAAATCACAGTACAGTTTGTGACCACAGGGCCTCACATGATGTGCCTTCCAGTCCCTCCTTATCACCTGCCAGTCTCCCCTCGCCCATGGTGCGCTCAGCCCACTGGCTCCCTGCCGTCCCTCAGGTGCACTGCTGCTGATGCCCTTGTGTTCTTCCGAGAGCCTCAACACTTCTCTGTGGTCCCTCCAGGCCTGCTCAGGTGTCCCTTTCCCAGGAGGCCTCTCTGAGCACTGCGGGGAAGCACGGCTCGGCCCTCCCGTCACGTGCTCTGTGTGCCCTCCATTGCTGCTGCGCTGTGAACACATCTGTCTGTTGTCATTGTGTGTGTTTGTTTACTGACTGTCTCCCATTGTAGAATGTAAGCTCCAAGAGTGGGGAGACACTGGTCACTGTCATCCCCCCAGACCTAGAACGGTGGCACTGAGAACGAGATGAAGAGTGTTGAATGAGTGAGGATAAAGGGGTCCCCAGTAGAGGCTGCCTACAGGATGGGACTGGGAGGAGGGGCTGCCCTGGCTGGAGTGTGCAGAGCCTCTCAGAGAAGGGGACGCTTTTTGCTTTGCTTTGTCATTGTTTATCCTTCTATTTAATTGAAAAATTGTTGTCTGGCCAGTGTGGCTTAGTGGTTGAGCATTGACCCACACTCCAAGAGGTCACCGGTTCAATTCCCGGTCAGGGCACATGCCCAGGTTATGGGCCTGGTCCCCAGTGGGGGGCATGCAGGAGGCGGCCAATCAGTGTTCTCTCTCATCCATGTTTCAATTTCTCTCTCCCTCTCCCTTCCTTTCTCTAAAATCAATAAAAAGAAAAACTGTTCATGTTCACTGTAAAAAAATTAAAACAGGTCAAATCTCTCTTTAGTATCCAAGTCCATCTAGCTCCCACAAAGAGTCAACAATTACCTTTTGCCCATTTCCTCTTAAACTGTCATGCCTTTATTGCCAATTGCTCTTTATAAAGATTTTATCAATTCCAACCTAATTTTAAGATATTTAGAATGCTGCTTTGGAGTTTATTCTTTTTCTTCTTTTGTTGTCCAAAGTGGTTACTTGCACTTTAAAAATTCTCCATTTATCCCCTAAGAAATGGCATCCATCTGTTCTGGATCTCTTGACGGAGTGGATTACTCTTTACGGAAGGAGAAGGGGATTGTGAAGATGACCCTGCCAGCCACGCTCGCTTTCTGCTATCTGTCGTTGCTGTGGCGGAGGGAGACGCTTACCCTCTCAGATCTGCTGAGGTAGGCTGGCCTCGGGCCTTGTGCTGATGACCTGCGCCAAGTACGGGACATTTAGATGTTTTGTATTTTACTAAGAAGCTTAAATTGACTAAGGGACTGGAAAGCTTGGGCAGCCTGAGTTCTGATTCTGAAGCTTAAATTGACTAAGGGACTGGAAAGCTTGGGCAGCCTGAGTTCTCCTCTCTGGGCTAGTAATTCACCTTGTTGGTTTCCTTATTTATATAATGGAAATAGTAGTACTTGCCTTACATCGGGTGTTGGAAAATTAATTATCTAATGTGAATGAAATGCTTTGAAGATAAAAAGTGACATTTAAGTAGTAGTATTAGTGTTTTTTATTTCTGAGAGAGAAGATGAACAGATGACCTTTACATTTGCAAATGGTTATTAATGTAGTTACGCAAGCACTAAAACATAGGTTGTCTGTGTTCATAAGGTACAATTGAAAACAAAACTATTGGAAGAACCTGTTATGTAAATAGTCGGTATTTACATTTTTCAAGATAACCTACAGGGTTTTATGGTTAATGAGTAAATTATGGCATTGTGCATAAGAATTTCTCATTAAACAGAAGATGTGCCAAAATCATTAATATGTTAATTTCTCCCTTGCTTTAAGTATTCTTGTTAATAACATTTGGGTTTAATCAGTGTGCAGAGTGGTTTAGGAGCATAGATTTAGAGCCACACTCCTGGGTTGTGCTGCTTAATGTTGTGTGACTTTATGTAAGTTTTTTTTTTTATCCTCACCCGAGGACATTTTTCCATTTTTTGTTCAGGTAGAGTGGGAGGGAGAGAGAGGAACAGAGAGAGAGAGAGAAACATCGATGTGAAAGGAACACATCGAGTGGCTGCCACCCGCACAACCAACCAGGGCCGGGGACAAACTGCAACCGAGGTACGTGCCCTTAGCGGGAACCGAACCCGGGTCTCTCAGGACCGCAGGCCGACGCTCTAACCGCTGAGCCAAACCGGCCAGGGCAACTTTATGTAAGTTTTAATTCAAGTTTAATTTCTCTCTGCCTGTTTTCTCATTGGTAAAGTGGGGACATTAGTATCGACCTCATAGTGTTGCAGCTACTTCCGGTAATTAGTGCTGCGTGGAGAGCACTTAGGACAGTGCCTGGCGCACAGTAAGAATCAGTGTTGTTGTTCCTCTTCCTTTTTCCTCCTCCTCCTCCTCTTCCTTCTGCTTCACCATCACCATCATTTTTGGCACCAAGCCTTTTGACGAAATAAAATGCCTCCAGTAAGTGATGATAGTGCCTTTGAATTTGGCCACATCAACCAAATAACAAGGCTTTTCTCAGACGTGATTGACTCTGCGTGCAGATAGTCCAGGATTCATTGAGTTTTACTGTGAAGCTAAAACCTCAATTCGCTCTGTATGCCCTCATTGGGTGATCTCATCTTCTCCCAAGGCTTAATTACTATCTCTAAGATGATGACTCGCAAGTTTATATCTCCAGCCCGGACTTGTTTACTGAGGGCCAGATCCGTATACATCCATATACACAACTGCTTGCTGGACACTCCTTGGGTGTCTTCATGGTATCTCAGGATCAGCATGACTAAACGAGGTTCATCATCTTTTGCCTCGACCCAGCTCCTTCTCTACCCAGTGTTTTCTGTCTTCATGAACACCAAGCCCTCTGGTGCCTCCTGTCCAGAGGCCTAGAATCGCCCCGACTCTTTCCTCTTTGTGCACACCCAGTTAGTCATTGCGTCCTGCCAATCGGACTGCAAAGAACTCGAAACCACTTGTCTTTCTCCCATTGCCTCTGCCTCTGTCTTTACTGGATTACTTAGAAACCTCCCAGGTGAGCCCTTGCCCACAGTCTCGTGCTGCTCTCTCCATTTTCCTCCTTAACAAGAGGGACCTTACAGAAACGCAGTCTGATCGCATCACTGATGCTGGTAAGGGGCTAGCCACCCGACACAGGGCGGTCTGTAAGAGGACAACAGGACTCTCCTAGAGACCTAATGAGATAGAGAAAAAATATTTACCTGAAATTCTTCTCAGGGAGAATGTTATACGTATGTGGTTGGAAGACTGAGGATGATGCCCTACACCTTTGTCTCTCTCCCTCTCTCCATCTTCCACTCCTTTCCTCCCTCCCTCTGCTCCTCCCTCCAGGGGAATTTACTGTGCCTTCAAGGAGATTGGATCTAGTTAGCTGGAGGGCCACAAGTTTGGGACCGAGCTTAATTGCTTGGAGTAATAGGAGAAGAGAAGGTCCTCTTTCTCTGAGAAAATGCTCTGAGACCAGGTTCTCAGAGTGTGGTCCCCTGACCAGCAGTATCACCTGGAATCTTGTTAGGAATGCAAATCCCTGGGCCCATTCTGACCTTCTGAACCAGGAACTCTGGGGATGGGCCTGGTAATCTCTGTCTTAATAAGCCGTCCAAGAGATTTCTGTAGATGCTAAATTGAGAACTACTGCCAAACTTTGAAAGATATTTAAAGAACCTTGGTTTGAAGAGAATACCTGACTACAATACCTGTATGTCTCATACTGATCCTACATGTCACTCCCCTGTTTAAATCTTTTAGCAGCAGCCATGGTCCTCACGATAAATTCTTAACCCTTAAAATAGCATTTAAAGGATCCTGCCTACCTACCAATAACAGTAATAAATAAAAATAGCCAACATGTATTCATTCCACAAATGTTTATCGAATATCGATCATATGTAGGTGTTATTCTTGAGATGCCATATAGATCAAGTCTCTGCTCTCTTGAAGTTCAAGACTAGAGGAGGAAACAGATAAGCAAATACTTAAATATATAAAAAATGATCAAACAGCCCAGCTGGTGCCCAGGTTTCGGGCTTGGCCCCCAGTAGGGGGCGTGCAAGAGGCAGCCAGTCTGTTTCTCTCTCACATCTATGTTTCTGTCTTTCTCTTCCTCCCTCTCTATAAAAAAATCAATAAAAACATATATTTTTAAAAAAGAAAATCTTTTTTAAAAAATGATCAAACAGTGAAGTGCTGTGCAGAAGACTGAAATGGGATAGCATGACAGAGAATGACTAGATGGCTGCTTTAGACTGGTTATTGGGGACGGTCTCGCTGAGAAGGTGGGATTTAAGCTGCACTTCCAATGAAAATAGAGCCAGCAGGTGACTATCAGAAGTGCTGCATTCGAGGTAGAGGGAGGTCACTAGTGCCAAGACCCAAAGCTCCGTGATTAAGGAGCAGAGAAGGCCAGTGTGAGAGAGTAAGCAAATCTGAAGGAGTCGGAGGTTGAGGCAGCGACCTAACAGGCAGAGGCCAAGTATAGGTCTTTGTAAGCCAAGTTAGGCGTTTGGATTTTTTTTTAAATTGAGGTATAATTTATAATCAATGAAATTTACCCTTTAAAATGCAATTCAGGGTTTTCAGTATATTTACAAGGTTGTGCAACCGTCTCTATTTTTACAACATATTCGTCACTCCAGAAGGACACCCATGCTCATTAGGAGTGTGATAGTAAGCCCCTGGAAGATTAAGCAGGAGAGCCCTGGCCAGTCTGATTCAGTGGTTAGAGCATCAGCCTGTGGATCAAGGGGTCTCGAGTTCCATTCTTGGTCAAGGTCAGGGTCCTGCGAGAGGCGGCCAATCGATGTGTCTCTCTCACATTCATGTTTCTCTCTCCCTCCTTCCCTTCCACTCTATCTAAAAATCAACGGAAAAATATCCTCTGGTGAGGATTAGTAACAAAAAGACATAGAAAGCCTGAATACTCTCTTACCTAATCAAGTATTTGAAGTCATACTTCCAATCAAAAGATGCAGCAGGAGAGGCAGGCCTGGTCATTCGGGCAGCCGTGGGAAAGGGGGCCCGGGAAGCCAGGGGGGAGCAGGGGGAGCCCGGGCTGTTGCCCTTCAGGAGGGAGACAGCGGCTGGCGGGCTGGGCGAGTCGAAGTGGAGCGGGGAGAGTGGTTCAGGATACATTGTGGAGGTAGATGTGGCTTGAATGCAGAGCTTCTTACATTATCTGCAGTGAAGAGCCAGCTTGTTAAATTTTCAACCTGGCACAGCTTGAGACTTTTGAAAAATATAGTAAAATTGTAAATAGTGACTGTTTCCAGGAGACCGTGTGGGTCAGGAGGGGCTTATAGTCTGTGGCATTCCTCTGTCAACTTCTTGGCTGATCCAAAGACCCATCTGATAATACTTACCAAGGGAAATAGATTGTTTGGAACTTGGACTAGAAAAGTATATATTTTTGAAAAGTATATATTTTTTTCTAAAAGGAAATTCAAATTCAAAAAGAAAAAATACTTTGGAAAGAGGTAAAGAACAGCAATATTTATAAATGGTGGAAGTTGCTGAAATCCCAGGTGCCCGAGAACTGCTGTGTGTAGGCGTCTCTTCCCGGGCAGGTTTCCCGGGCCTTCGTCTGCGCCCGCAGCACTGCGCCCATGGGCTCTGCGGCCGTCGTGCTGACTCATCTGCGCGCTGCCTGCCTGGCCGCCTGGGTCGTGGTGGGGGCTCTTCGTGTCCGGGTCACCTCTGAACTCCTCGTGCCTCCTGCGGTGCTGGACGAGCCAAAAAACAGTTCCAAAATAGTATGGATACTGTTACTATGCACAGATACTTTTACATAAATTAAACTAATGAAACCTAGGTGGGTTTTCCTACAGGGCTGCTCTAATGAACCCTGTTTCCTCATTAAGCTTTATAAAATATCATTTTTACACAACATTTTTATTTTAATTCTCAACTTTCAGTAGACTAAAAAGTTAAATCACATGTTTAACTTGGAATTAAAGTTGAATCAATATTGCTCTTTAACTACTAGCTGTACCCAAAACAGACTTTGAGGCCAAATACTTTGTATACTAATTTATTCCATCTTTATCTTATTTTCCTTAACAATTTTCTTATTTTAAAAATTATATCTATCTATCTATATAGATATAGATATAGATATAGATATAGATATAGATATAGATATAGATATAGATATAGATACAGATATCAGGTTGTAATACCCCCATTCCTCATTCTCTATTCTTCCCTATATTATTTTTCTCCTTACTATTTTTTCTAGCTAACATACTATACATTTCATTTATTTGTTTTGTTGGTCATCTTTCTCTTTTCACTAGAATGTAAACTCCTTAGGAACAAGAATATTTTCCTGTTTTATACTGCTGTATCCCCACAGCCTAGAATACTGTTAGATGTATAGTACTCAATAAATTTCTGTTGAATTAATGAATTAATTGTAAATAAATATGTATATGTGTTCATTATTTATTTATTTTTATCCTCACCTGAGGACATTTTTTGCATTTATTTTCAGATAGAGTGGGAGGGAGAGAGGGAGGAAGAGAGAGAGAGAGAAACATTGATGTGAGAGAGACACATCGAGTGGCTGCCACCTGCACAACCCCAACCAGGGCCGGGGACAAACCGCAACTGAGGTACATGCCCTTAGCGGGAACCGAACCCGGACTCTCTGGTCCGCAGGCCGACGCTCTAACCACTGAGCCAAACCGGCCAGGGTTATATGTGTTCATTTTTATATATGTGCTATTTTCTTCAAACTCAATAATTTACTCGAATTTATTTGATCAGCTACTATGTACCAGACATTGGGATGGAGTGGCAAGCAGAGGGGCAAGGCCCTTTCCCGTAACTGCTCTCCTAGCAACAGTCACCTGCCGTGCACTGTGCTAGCTGCAGGGGACAGAAGGGCGGACAAGGAGGTGTTCTAACAAGGAAAACGGGTCACCGGAGGTCTCCCTAAAGAAATGATTTGAAAGCTGAGTCGGAGCTCATCGTGCGAGGGAGACGGGAGAGAAGGGACACCTGGCCTGCACGCCTCCTGGTCGCGGGCAAGCAGACAGACGCTTCCTGGGAACCGTTCCCCTGAGGTCCGTCAGAAGCCCAGGAGATCGTCAGATAGTTGACTGAGTGTTTTCTCCACGTGTGGACACAGGGAATAATAGATGTTTTCAGATTTATCATCCTTAAAAATATGTTAACAGCACACTCAACCGATTCTTACCTTGTCTTTGAAATACAACATTTTCAACTATTTTGATGACTTTTACAAATCAGTACATATCTCTTTTGAAACTCTTTCTTTTTAAAAACAGATTTGTTGAAGAGGGCCATATTCCATACATAAATGCTTTTCAGCATTTTCCAGAAGAGATGAAATTGTATGGGCGTGACAAAGGAATCTTTGCCATAGAGGTAAGTTCTTTTCTTTACTTTGTAGTCACTAGTAAGACACAAGAGTGGTGTGGTGACTTAGAGTCTTTGTCTGGCTTCTTATCTGGTGGTGGAGTTTTTTTAAAAGTTATCTAGTTTATGTTCTGTCCAAATATGGAACATTAATCATAATTTAAAAAGAGTAGAGTTGTTATTTTTTATTTTCCTATGTGGCTCCTTTTAATCCTTTAGGTTATCCTCAAAATATAGCGATAGTGTAAGGTATGTGCATTGCAAAAGGTATATTGTTGAGATTAAACTTTAAAAGATTTATATAGAAACATTTAAGTAATTTCAAATTTTCTAAAAAGTGTCTTTTGTTATTTGTATACTGTATTGCTTTAGAGAAAGTAAAAGAAAGTTATTATCTTGTTGCAAGAGGCAATATTTCAAGTCTTGGCTCACATGCGTCTTTTTCTAGATCTCTTTTCAGATGTCTCCTATGCAAGGGCTTCTGTCCTTTAATTATGAGTCTTTATCACTATTTATAGTACTCAAAGGTTATCTTCCCTTTTTTCATCATCAGAAGGTTTTCAGTTTACTAAATATTATTAATTTTAAACATTATCTTCCACTTGCCCACTTAAGGAGTTGTTTTCATAGACCTTCCTAATCTTCACGACCTTCACATCGTTTGCAGTTTAATTTGAGAGACATTTGTGAGCCCTACTAACCCCTGTGTGATCATTATGGTTCACTTTATCCCAATTGTGAGTCTGAGCAAACACCTCAGAAAGGTGGAATCATTTGCCAGCGTCATGCAGTTGGAGGTCCCAGGCTTGGAACTCTCGTACTTTCGGCCTTGTGCTCACCGTATGCCTCTTGCTCTGTTTGCCTGCTGTTCACCCAAGTTCTTTGGAGCACTTACATAGGTGCTATGAAAATATAACAATATTACATGCTGACTTCGAAGCATTGAGCCAGAAGGAAACGGATGACTGGAAACACAGATAAATAAGTTTGCAACACACCATAACTCTTTACACCTGACATTATTAAACATTAGCAGCATTTTGCATTGAACTAGAATATTGGTCATTGTGAATGATTGGTGGAGAACATTTGATTTTTAAATCAGAAATGGCTCCGTCCTCAGAACAACTTGAGCCGGAGCAGTTCCCGTAGATTTAGAGGACGCAGGGCTTGGAGGTGGGTTCCCGGTGCTGCTTCCTTACAGTCGCGGTTTGTTTATACCCAGGAGGGATGAGACAAGTTCCAGGCGTGCATGCCCTTGCCCATCCGTGGGAAGCACGAGGAAGGAGGGTACAGCTGCAGCCACCACTTGACCTGGAAAAATAACAAAATAAATATTAGTAGTGGGTGAGCTTCTCATGTACAGGCCCTGCCACAAAGACACTGTAAGCTCGTTTATTATTCCTACCGACCCTATGAAGTACATAGTAGCTGCAGTACTGCCCTTATTTTACAGACAAGGAAGCTAAGATGGAGATACTGAATAACGTGCCTGGTAGTCTCACTCTGAACATTGTCCAGCAGGGCCAACGCAGCCTTCGTTTGGAAGGAGACAAAAAAAGAGACAAAAACCGTACCAAGCAATGGGGGAGGCAGGCAGTGAGTATAAGCTGTTAAGGCAAAAAAGAAGCTCCCAACTGGTTACTAAAGCCTAGAGGTGGCCCTGTGGCAGAGATGGCAACCAGGACCAGAAAGCATGAGGCAGAGGAGCCAGCTGGAGGGTGGTCTGGGCAGTGGTGACAGTGGGGTGGCGTGTACATGCATCTTGCACGAGGCACAGGCATGAGGCTGGCTGACCGGAGCAGTCTTCCCGAAGGGTGGACCTTCATAAAAGCAGCTTAGTCTGTGTCTCAGCTGGGCAGGGTTGCAGTAGTTGATTTTAAGGGCTGGAGACAGAGGATACATCCTGCTTTTTCAGCCAGCACTCCAGACCCCAGGTAGTTTGTCAGAGATGTGGGGTGCTCTGGGAGTCGGGAGGAGGACACTGAGGTATAAGGTACACCTAACCGCTCAGGAGGCCTTCCACATCTGGGGGAAGAATAACACCAGCCCTTAGTTTTGGAACTAGCCTGACTTAAGGTCAATTGGATTTTTATCTTTTTAAATAGCATCCATGCTCAATGAGAGAGGAAGTATGGGCACTACTGATGCCACCATGAAACTGTCTCATGGAAGTTTTTCTTCAAATAATTGATTTTTAAATCTGTATAATTCATTAAGTAGTAGTTTAAATTTAGCTGCTAAAAATTGTTCATGACTGGTCATCTAAGCCTTGTTTATATGTTCTGCTGAAAGGAAAATGCAGAACAATTTGGTTCAATAATTCTAGGTGTGTGTCTTGATATTTGTTCTGTTTTCCTAGAGGAAACAATGGAACCGAGGTACCATTTTTGCTTTAAATATTAGCTTAGTTTTGGTTATTAAAATATTTTGTCTTTCCTCTGTCTCCCTCCCTTCTTTTCTCCTCTTCTCTCTCCTCTCAGTCCCTAGTATATTCTTTATCTTCCATCCTGACTGGGGTTTAACCTGGTTCCTCAGAGCCATTCACCATTCAACTTATTATTGATAATGTTTGCTTGATTGGGGTTATTTGCACTTTTTTCTGGTGCCTAAAATTATTACTTAGTTGCCTTTAACAAACTGTAAGCTTCTGTTACCAGAATTTTTTATTTAGTCATGGAATATTGAAGTGGGGGTGGGGGATTTAGAGATCACTTAATTCACTTTTCTTATTTTTCTAATAAGGAAACTAGCCTCACAAGAAATGTGAGTTGGGAATAAATATACCTCTTCTTTATTGCAGTTCTAGTGAGGACTATTTGAGATAATATATTCAAAATGTAGGTATATTTTGTATATTCAAATGGTGATAGGCTCCCTTCCAGGCCCCTGGATGGAAAATCTTTTTCTCTAAAGTGGGGATGAAGAGGGTGATCAAGCTGCTTGGAGGAGGAAATGTATCAGTTTTGGAAAATAAACTTTTCATTTTAAAAGTCTGTTAAAAGAACATCAAACCTTTGAATGTGCCTATTTCTAATTTTTCTCAAAGTAGGTACCAGGAAGTTTATGGCTGTGACTCTTCCTTTTCATTATGATATCTTATAATTTTGATTACCATAAATTCAGCTTCTTGCAAAAGCTATTGCTTCCTGGGCTCAGGTTGATGCTTGGGATTGGTACCTAACCAGTAATTACGTTTGGATTAAGAAATTGGATTTCACTTCACATATACTGACGTAGATACTCAAGTTTCACTCTATACAAATAATTACTCTAAAAATTTATTCTCAGTGTCCTTTCAAATAGTAATGGATTTCATTGCTGCCAAATGTTTAAATAACTGCAACAGTGACATAAAATGTGCAAAATCAAGAGACTGTTACTGTAACAGCCAGTGTGGCTCACATTTCTCAGAAGCCTCTCTTAAGCCTTTAGTGTGATAAGAAGCGCCTGCAGCTATGATACAGCTACATTTATTTCTGGTGATGATTCAGTGTTTCAGCCTGAAATATTGTATTCTCAGTATTGTGTCAAATCTAAACTGTTTTCTGCCCCTCCTCAGGTTTTACAATTGGAAACAAGTTTTGTAATATTGGTAATATTTCTTGTTCTAACATCTACCTTGTCTGATATTAATGTAGCCACTTCAGCTTTTTTTTTTAACACAATATATCGTTTTTCAGTCATTTATATTTAACCTATCTATGTCTTTATATTTAAAGTATTTTAATTATTTTCCTTTATTGATTTTAGAGAGAGGGGAGGAGGAGGGAGAGAAAGAGAGAGAAACATCTATGTGAGAGAGACACATCGAGTGGCTGCCACCCACACAATCCAAACCGGGGCTGGGGACAAACTGCAACCGAGGTACATGCCCTCAGTGGGAACCGAAGTCGGGTCTCTCTGGTCCACAGGCCGACGCTCTAACCGCTGAGCCAAACCGGTCAGGGCTATGTCTTTATATTTAAAATGGGTATTTAATACATAGTAAAGCCTTGATATTATTTAGCCAGTCTGATAATCTCTGCCTTTTAATTAAAGTGTTTAGACTTTAGACCATTTACATCTGATGTAATTATATATGTGGTTGGGTTTAAATCTACCATTTTACTATTATTTGTCCCATTCAGTCTTTATTCTTTTTCTCCCTTCTTTTGAAATAAGATTTTTTTCATTTAATCTGTATTATTGATTTATTAATTATACCTCTATTTTTAAGAGGTTACTCTAGAATGTACAGTATTCATCTTGAACTTATCACAGACTGCTGCAAGTAATAATGTACCAGTACATGTACAGTGGGAGACCCTTACAGCAGTATACTCCTGCTGTCCTGCTCTCGGCCTTGAGCATCAGACATTCCACTTTCGCCTTGTTAGAGATCCCACGGTACATCAGATTCTTTTCGGTGTGGACAGTCACTGTCTTTTTAAGAAATTAAAATGAGAAAAACTATTTGATGTTTACTCACATGTTTCTGGTACTCTTCCTGTCCAAAAAAAAAAAAATGTTTTTAACATTTCTTATAGTATAGATCTCCTGGCAGTAAATCGTTTTGGTGTTTCTTGATCCAAAAAAGTCTTAATTTTTTAAAAGACATTTTCACTAGTGGTGTATAGAATTCTGGGTTTGTACTTTTCTTTCAGCACCTTAAAGATGTCATTTCATTTTCTTCAGACCTGCCTGCTTTCTTCCTTCTTTTTTTATCTTATTTTATTTTTTTCGGCTTTATTGAGATACAAATGACAGAATTGTAAGACACTTAAAGTGTATGTCATAGTGATTTGATACATGCATATATTGTGAAAGGGCTCCCCCCATTAAGTTAACACTTCATTGCCTCACATATTTATTTATTTGGTAAGAACATTTAAATTCCATTCTCAGCAAATTTTAGTTATACAATACAGTGTTATCAACTAAAGTCACCACATTTTATATTAGTTTCTCAGACCTTATTTGTCTTATGGCTGAAAGTTTGTACCCTTTTACTGTCATCTCTCAATATT